AAACAGTTCGCAAACACGACAGCAACCCACTTCTCTTCTCGGTTTCCTCGTTATCCGGTCTGCACTCGGAAAAGACACTGGCCGGCATGACAGTCGTTGACCATCAGCCCTCCCTCGTCGACTCAACTTCCGCAACCGAACCTGCACAAAAACCCAGTTCTGCTGTAGAGTCCCGAAGACGAAGCAGTTCTCTCGAGACGACGTCGGAAGGGCGATCACGACAAGAGACTGCCACCATGCATGGCTCTCTTTCCGATGCCGACTCCATACTTTCCAGCCAGAGTGAACGGAATCTGGAAGGCTATACTAATGTGCGAATGCGCCGACATGCTGAGATGACACCAACCGAAGCTAAGGATGCGATGTACTGGGAGAAACGCTGGAAGAATAATGCTGCAGCTAGGCGATCGAGGCAGAGCCGCAGAGCCAAAGAATCAGAGTTGAGTGAATATGCCCAACACTTGGAGGCCGCCAACGCCCTCCTTCAGGCAGAAATCAGTGCTCTGCGGCAAGAATTAGCAAAGTACAGGACAGCCAACGGCTCCTAGCGCTGTGGCGTTTTTCTGCAAATAGGGATGTGTAGTTTTCAGTTGATTACGCAGCACATCAGTCAACTTTATAAACATTTATATGGCCACTTAAAGTAGGCCTTATTGTTGCATGAGGACTTTGTACATATTAGAAGATGAATTGAAGTAAAGGACGATCGTTTGTACTTGGCATTTCATGAAGCATCAAATACTCAAATGTGTTATTCAGCGCGGATCGGCCTGTTATTCACTACTATTACTACTACTACTACTACTACTACTACTACTACTATTACTGGGGATGATAGTTTGACCATAGATTTCGATGATATGCATAATATGCCCAAGAGCAGGAATGGTGACTGTAGACAGACACGAGATTTCAGTGAAATAGTCGCGCAACTGACTACCACACTCTACACCCTCACCCCGCCTGCACCGGAGACAGGACAGAGTCAGAATGACCGAGCAGGAATCATACGTAAGCCGCTTTCTCCAATGCAGGCCACAGACACCGCCTAACTGAGTCTTAAGTGACAGTAACCTTTTGCGCTGTTACTACTGCACTACCGACCCTCACTCATTTTCAGCAGGTGTCCAGAAAGACTAAGGGAGACTGAGTCTTATATTGCTACTATTGCTGCTAATATTTGTACTGCTGCTTACTAGCGGTGTACCTGAATGATAGTAGTGGTGGTGCTATTACTGACGCTAATAATTGTCCAGAAATGGCACTGCTTAGAGTCACTGTTGTGCTCGTGTTTCTTCGATCTCAACTAGCCGTTTGGACCTGGATTAATGCTATTTCGAGTAAAGTAGATGATTGATGCTGATGATGCTCGGAGCACATCACTGCTCGCCGTGGATTGTACCTCCTACCTGCGTCAGTTTTTTATACTAATACTACTACTACTACTACCAATAATAATAATAATAATAAAGCGTCGCATAAGCTGTCCCCTGTAAGCGTGTGTTAGTTTTTCGCCAGCAGCTGTGAACACTGACGGCAATAGTATCAGCCGCTCCTGCGGCAG